ACTAAACTCTAATAGCTGCAAAGGTACAAACATAATTTTTCTTCCTATAATTATCCCCCAATTTTTTAAAGATAATCACAGTAAAACATTTGTGTTAAACTTGGCCTGATTATTTGCATAAGTGCATTGAAAATGGTGATTGACCGTAAAAGCTCTTTTTAAGACTGTTTTGCTGAAACCTTGTGAGCAAGGTACCAGGATGACTTTTCCAAAAGGTTTTATTGGTTCCATAAAGTCAGTCTTAAAATGGAGACTGCGGGCTGGAACTGAGGAATTGCGGACTGAACCAAAGCTCGGGGATTCGCATTCCAGATGGAACTGTCTGCCAGTAAGTCGACCCATTAAGCTCTGGTCTGGAAAGTCAATTAGATTGGGAGTTCAGTGCAAAACGAACAGAGCTCAGAATCAAGAGGGATTTACTCATGGATCTCAGAAATGGCAAGAAAGGGAGTGATCTCAACAGGGTTTTTACAGGGCACCATGCCTGTTTCTTGCTGTCCCCAAATGCCATCACTTTGGATTTCACTTTAGATCCCACAGCTACCAACTGAACCTGTTAAACAAATTCACCTGAATAAATTTAAAGATTAAATTGGCTTTATTCAATGGTTCATGAATCAGAGAGCATCCCCATCAGAAAAAAAAAAGCTCTACCAAATCTATAGAAAAGGAAAAGTTTTTAATGACAGAAGGGGAGTAAACAGAGGAAGTTTTTAGCAAAGAATGCAGTTTCAGGCAAGGTCACCCTCCTGAGGGGAATGATGGGGCTCTATCAGATGGGTTTTCTCACCTTGATCTGGATGGGAGTTATAGCGGTCTAAACGGGGGGAAAATTCATCGAGCTGTACACCTAAGATGTATGCATTTTCCTTTACTTTCATAACAATCTCAGTATATGTAATTACATAAACCGCAATATATAAACATTCACATATAAAAGGATAAAAGTGGGGATCGCTGGGTGGCGCAGCAGTTTGGCGCTTGCCTTTGGCTCAGGGCGCGGTCCTGGAGACCCGGGATTGAATCCCATATCGGGCTCCCGGTGCATGGAGCCTGCTTCTCCCTCTGCCTGTGTCTCTGCCTCTCTCTCTCTCTCTGTGACTATCATAAATAAAAAAATAAAAAATAAATAAAAGTTTAAAAAAAATAAAATAAAAGGATAAAAGTCTGAGTGTTTTGCTTCTAGAACTATACATAGTTAAAACAGTGAGAAGTGTCCAAATGCCAAGTTTTCACAAAACAATGGACAAAGTATACCCATGGGTGTGATCATGTCCTCAAAGGAAGAAAAATGATCTGACTTTCTTGATAAAAATTTCTTGGTGTGACCAACTTTAGAAAATGCCACTCTGTCCAAGAGGCAGGAGGAAAAAAAAAGTTTCAGGTTTGACGAAGTCTGTTTAAGGCCCAGGGCAGCCAAATCAGTCCCACGAGGTGGGGAAGCATGCAGGAATATGGTCAGAGAGCAGTTTTCCAGATGTAATAAGCACCAAGCCCTGCCCTTCTTGGCACAGCTAGAAGTTGTTGGGAAGCGGACATGTCTGGTCTTGGGCCTCGCCCTGCTGCAGACCTTTAAGGCCCTCTGGGGGCCATCTGCCTGTCACCTCCAGACTGTGTTCTCACCTGAGAAATCGCAGCAGCTGCCCTGGCAGCGTCCCAGGGGCCACTTTTGCCCTGTTGTATATGTCTGCTTGGGCTGCTGTCTGTGACAGCACCGCAGACTAGCCAACTTAAACCATAGAAACATGTGTCCACATGGTTCTGGAGGCTGGACATCCGAGATCAAGGTGTCAGCAGGGTGGATTTCTTTTGAGGCTTCTCTCCTCGGTTTGCAGATGGCCATCTTCTCGCTGTGTCTCTTCATGTGATCTCCCTCTGTCTGTGTCTGTGTCCCAATTTCATCTTTTTATAAAGACACCAGACATCCTCTATTAGGGCCCATCCATATGACCTTACTTTTCCTTAATGACTTATTTATTTATTTAAATTACCTCTTGAAAGGCCCTATCTCCACAAGCAGTCACATTCTGAACTTCTAAGCGTTCCAACTTCAGCATGTGAATTAGGGGGTAGGGTGTGCTTCAGCCCATAATACTCATCAAGGACACTTTCTGCCCAATTGCCAGAGGAAGTCTTCTAAAAACTCAAATGTGATTGTGTTGCTTGCCACTTAAAGTACTTCACATCCTCCTGCCATCCTCATACTTTTCATCTGGCATCAGGACCACCCCCCCACCCCACCCCCAGCCCCAGTCTGGCCTCTGTCTACCATCCCAATCTCATTTCTCACCATTCTCCCTTGTTCTCTCTGCCCACCCCTGCCTCCTTGTGGTTCCCCTCCTGCCCCAGGGCCTTTGCACAGTAGGTCCTTCTTTCTAATGTGCATGTGGCAAAGTCACTCATTACAGAATTCATTTCTAATTCTCACTCCTGCACATGATTCAGAAAAGTGATGTTTTTATCCATTCATTCTCTCTCTCTCTCTCTCTCTCTCTCTCTCTCTCGCAAATCCCTTTATAATTCCGAATGTGATTTCTGATATTTCCAGGAACTTTTGTGTTTCAGAGCCTCAAACAGAACTTTCCAGGCCTCTGCAAGGGCCCTCACCTACCCCAGACTTCAGCTAGGGAGGGAGGTCTATGGAGGAAGGCAGAGGTGGGGGCTGAGATCTGACTAGGGAGGAAGGGGCAGGAAAGGAATGGAAGGGTTCTCAGGGTGGTCATTTTTGTAGGGAGGGAAGAGATATTGTGTCCCTGCCTTTGCAGAATGCCTGGAGAAATAGCCCTGAGAGCTTGAGTGAACTCATGAGGGTTTCCACATTCAGACATGTGCTGAAGGAAGGGAAGTTTTCCTAAAGAAGTCTTTGGAGGCAGTAGGGGCTGATGGAGCAGAGAAGCAGGCCAAACAGCTGCCTCAGGGAGCAGAGGGAGACATGGTGACAGTAGCCTTCATGTGGACAAGGGAAGAGGCCTCATCCCTGCTTTCCTAGCAGTCCCAAAATGTCCTCATCCCTGATTCTTGTTTGAGCCTAAAACAGGGTAGCCTGCCAAAACATAGCTGAGACTGAAATGCTTGCCAAGTGAGTGTGGCTAGAGGGACACCCTTAAGTGACTGAGACAAAATAATGTGTTTTTTCATATGTCTATATGTGTAAACTGATGCTTTAATGGTCAATGTTATGTCTCAACTCGACTGAACCACAGTGGCCAGACATTTGGTCAAACATTGTTCTGGATGTCTCTGTGAAGGTGTATTTTGGATGAGATCGACATTTAAATAGGTGGGATCTGACTAAAGCAGATTGCTTTTCATAATGGGGGTCCATGCCTAATCAGTTGATGGCTTTAATAGCATAAGGACTGACCTCCCCTGAGCAAGAAGAAATTATGCCATGCAGGAGGTCTTTGGACTCAAACTGTGACTCTTTTCTGGGTAACCAGCCTGCTGGCCTACCCTGCAGATTTTGAATTTACCACACTGCCACAATTGTATGAACCGATTCCTTAAAATAAATTTCTCTGTACATATGTACGTGTTCTGTTGATTCTGCTCTTCTGAAGAACTCTAATATAGCACCAACGCTTTTTAGCTCCACCCACCCAGGGAAGATTGTTCATATTCATCCTTCCTGTGTCTGCTTTTAGACAGCACTTCCTACAGGAAGTCCTCTCAGGCCACCCTAAGTCTCACCCCAGAGCTGCATTGGGTGGCTCCTTTGTGTTCCCATAGCAACATGTACATTTCCCATTGTGCAGCTTTCATTTTCCCCTGACAGAGCTTTTCAAACTGAGTATTATTTTCTGTGTCCTCAAGTAGATTATGAGCAGAAATGAAATCTGTTTTACTAACAGGGCCTGATACATAGTTGCTGAATGATGAATGAATGAAAAGAATAAGTAGATGTATGAATGCTTGTATGAATTTCTGCCACTGCTATTAACAAATTACTACAAATTCAGTGGCTAAAAACAACATAAACTGATTGTCTTGCAGTTCTGGAGGTTAGGAGTCTTGACACCTGTCTCCTTGGGCTAAAATTAAAAGTGTCAACAGGGTGGCATTCCTTTATAAAGGATCTAGAAAGAATCCCATTTCTTTACCTTTTCTGGTTTCTTAGAAGCTGCCACATTCCTTGGTTCAAGATCCCCTTTCTCCATCCTTCAAAGCCAAGAATATTGCATCTCTGACCTGATTCTCGAGTTTTTTTAAGGACTGGCATGGTTAGGTTGGACCCATCTCTATATAGGAAAATCTCTTTGTCTCAAAATCCTTAATTTAATAATATCTTCTGAAGTTCTTTGGCCATGTAGTGTGACTTATTCACAGGGTCCATCCAGGGATTAGGATGTGGACATCTGGGGAGTGTTCTTGCTATCCCAGTGCTCCTCTGTTACTTTAACAGACTGCTCAGATTTCCCCTTTATGGTCTCCATCTCCACTAAGAAGCATTGGAACACAGTTCAGTGCACCCACCCGACAAATGAGAAAAGAGGCCCTGGAGAAAGGGGCATTTGTTTTTTTAAAAAATAATAAATTTATTTTTTATTGGTGTTCAATTTGCCAACATACAGAATAACACCTAGTGCTCATCCCGTCAAGTGCCCCCCTCAGTGCCCATCACCCAGTCACCCCCAACCCCCACCCTCCTCCCCTTCCACCACCCCTAGTTCGTTTCCCAGAGTTAGGAGTCTCTATGTTCTGTCTCCCTTTCTGATATTTCCCACACATTTCTTCTCCCTTCCCTTATATTCCCAGAAAGGGGCATTTGAGTGCCTACTGTATGCCAGGTGCTGTGCTAAGGAACCTCTTGTGGCTTGTCTTCAAGCAACCAGAGAAGAATATATTATTAGCAAAAAAACAGTGATAACAAACCCCAATGAGGTGTTCAGGTCCAGCTGGATCCAGGTGTTCAAAGGATGTTATCAGACACCTTCCACTCTATCTCATGGCTTTGTGTTGGCTCCTTTCTTGTCAGGTTCTCCTTTCATAGAAGCAACATGGCCATGAGCAGCCCGGAATACAAACCCTTGCCGGAGATCTCTGAAACCCCTGTGGAAAGAATTATTTCTCAACACTTCCAACAGAAGTCCTTGAACTGAATTCCACCGAACCTTCAGGGCTCCAGCATCCATCTCTGAACAATGAGGGCTTGAGGATGGAATATGTTTGTAGGCCAGGGCTGAAATACAGGCCTAGTTTGGAGGCCAGCCTTTCCCAAACACAGGGCCTGGGTGTGCAGGGACTGCTCTCCAGAAGAAGCAGGTACTACTACCAGAAGTGACAATGCCTATGTGTAAAGGAAGAAAGCCCTCACTATCAGGGAAAAATGCCAATTATCATCATATCCATTTTATAGGAGTGGCAACTGGGGCACAAAGTGGTTTGGTACAATGCTCTAGATCACATAGCTGGGAAGTGGCCATGCCAGGACTCAAGCCCTGATCCCATTCCCTTGCAGGTGGCAGTTCTAGAACTCAGGGCAGGGCTCCTGCAGACCTGGATCTCTCTCACTTTGTCTCAACACTCAGACCGTATCAAGAGATGCACTTTGCTTGTTAGCTGCCTCCCTGGACCTCAAGGTCGGGCTGGGATTGTGCTGTCTGTGCCCTGATATTTATGTCCTGTAAGTGCCTCCTCTCCTGCAGAAGCACCTCTAATCAAGGCAGGAAATAGGTACTAGCCACCAGCTCCTTTGAAGTCATCTGTGGTGACAGATTTCACGTGAGTCTTCATCCCATCTTAACACATTTCCAAACAACAGACACAGCTTACTGGCAAAGGCTCCACCTCATGGAAAACCCTCTTTCCAAGGAAAGGGAGGCCGGATGGTGGGGACAATGAAGGTGCTCATAACAGAGATGAGTCTTCTGGGAGGTTTAAGAAATAGCTGAGAAAAAATAACCAAGCCTTTGTAAGGCAGTTCCTGGAACTGGAGCCAGAAATTAAAAGGATGAGTATCCCCTCCCAGAAGGTAAAGAGTTTCATTAGGGTAAACAAGTGGGATGAGCAAGACCCCCATGGCAGGTGGTGAAACTAGGAAAGTTGTTCCCCCAGGGATGACAGGACCAAAAATACATTGTTCCAAAAGAGGGAAGGGGCAAAGAACAAACATTTACCAAGGGCTTACTCTGTGCTAAGTATGTGACATCATGAGGCTTACTTCTCCCAGTCATTATTCTGAGCAGGCACATTAATTTATCCCTTTAAGTTTATTATTTTTGTTTTATTTTTTAACAGAGAAGGAACCTGAGGCTCAGAGAGGTAAGGCAACTCGGTCAAGAGCACACAGCCAAGAAATGGCAGAGCTGGATCCAAACTCCGATCTTTCTGATTCCAGTCAGTGTTCTTTCATCCCATGATGTACACACAGTAGGTTATGAGAGAAAATGTGGACCTCCCATGAACATTTTAAACTCACTGTTTCTGGAAAGCCCCCATCAAAAGCAGAGTGCTGGGTTGAACAGACCAGATGATGTTCAGTGGTCAATGCTCAACTTCTTAGGAGCATATAATAGAGAAAATGTCAGGAGGCAGAGTGTGGAGAGGTGACTGGAGGCTCCCCCATCTCCAGTAGGTGTATATAAAGGTCACACAAGTACATGGCAGGAAGGCAGAATCATGCAGCAAGCTGGTAAGACCAGATTATTGGTAGCTGCTGTCCCAGGTTCTTCAAGGGTTCCTCACCACTACCTCAGCTACTGTCCTCAGAAACCCCAAACTTTCCTATGATCCAGGAACTAAACAGGTCTCCAGGACCCAGCTGCCCTGCCAGCATCTTTTTGGCTATTAAGTATTTTTGATATTGCTCTTGCTTAGATGCATAGACTTTCAATTCTCACTCTGCCCTGGTCCTTAAAAGTGCTGGATCTGCAGTAGGCAGGGCACACACACTTGCAGTACTACATGCCATTTCTCATGCATCTAAGAAATAATTACTATTTCTTCACTGCCTATTGCCTATTATTCACTTCACTCACAGAAGCCCTGGGAAGTGGGTATCTTACCCCTTGAATATGGGCTGTTGGGACCCCAGTCAGGTCTCCATAACCAGGCCAGTATACCCACCACCAGCTGTGTAGATGTTGCCAAGAACTCAAAGCTGCCCCCATCTCTGGAAAATTGCACTAAGCTGATAGAAGTCTCACCAGTAGATTACGCCCCTCCAAGAGCTTTCCACAGCCAGTGTTGAGAAAGGGATGCAAAAAACCGGCTCCCCATTCCACCTGGGGCTGTGAACAACTTAGTAGTGCAAGGAGTCCCACAGTCCCCAGGGGATCCGGCTGAGGCTGGGCCTGTTTTTTTTTTTTTTTTTAAGATTTTATTATTTATTTATTCATGAGAGACACAGAGAGGCAGAGGCACAGGCAGAAGGAGAAGCAGGCTCCACGCAGAGAGCCTGATGTGGGACTCGATGCCAGGACCTCAGGATGACGCCGTGGGCGGAAGGCAGGTGCTAAACCACTGAGCCACCCAGACATCCTGAGGCTGGACCTTACCTGGGGTCACTTTCCCCCTGGGCCCCTCCCTCTTCCCTATCCTGTTTCCCTCACCCTTTACAAGTTTTCCCTCAGTAAATCACATGCACTCAAAGCCCTGAAACACCCCTACCCCATTTTACAGGACAAGAAACTAAGCCTTACCTAGAAGGACCCCAACTTGGTCGGTCCCCAAAGTTAAAGCCCTTTCTGCTTCTTTCATCCTGTCTGCCCAGAATGACAGGTCAGGAGCGGAAACCCTCATCCCCACAGGGGTGGGCAGCTTTTCCTCCCTCAGCAGCAGCCCTGGGCTGCCTTGGCAGCATCGAGGCTCCTGTTGCCTCCCCCACACTGAGTCATCAACCATGCAGAACAGTGACAAATCATAGAGCAGGACTGGGTGGCCGGCTGGCACTCAGAATGGGATTTCTCAGAAGCCTCAGCCCTGCTCAGCTTAGGAAGGCAGGGGTTTGGGAGGGAGGAGGTGGCTCCTCTTTACTCCTGCCTCACCCAGGGCTGGAGACCCGGGGCCTAGGGGCTGCTCTGCCTCTTCCAGTTGAGCATCTCCTGAGGGACAAACTCTCCAAGGTGTTTCAGGAAGGATGGGGCAGGTGGCAAAGCCCAGATCCTAGGAGCTAAGCTGACTCGGCCACCAAAGCTGTACAGCAGGGTGGCCGGAGGCAGACGATGTCCCTGGAATGCACCAAAGGCTAGCCACACACACCCTGTTTAGTTAGACCCCTGTGGCCCAGAACGTCAGAGGCAAACTCTTCAACTCTGAATTCCTGCCTCTTCCAATTTGGCTCCAGACACTTCCTCTCTAATCGCCACTTCTGCTCTCACCGTTTTCATTTCTTTTAATTAAAGAAAAATTTACATACATTGAAATGCACAAATAAAAAAAAAAGAAAGAAATGCACAGATCTTGGGTGTTTCAATAAACAGAATTGGGTAAATGTATACACCCACGTAATCAACATGATTGTCGGCATACAGAACATTTCCATGTTCCTTTCGCATAGGCAATCACTGTTCTGGTTTCTATCACTGTGAATTAGATGTATCTGTTCATGAAAATCATATAAATGGAATCACACAGTATGTACTTTTGGGGGGTCTGGCTTCTTTTATTCAACATCATGTCTGTGAAATTCATCCATATTGGGCAGTTATGCCTTCCTTCCCATTACTAAGTGGTATTCCATTATGAATACATCACAATTTGCTTATCCATTCTCCCACTGATGGCCACTTGGGTGATTTCTCCTTTTTGGCTTATGAACAGACTGCTATGAATATTCTTGAACAACTCTTTCTGAGGGCATTTGTTTTCATTTCTTGAGGATTAATAACTAGGGGTGGATGGGTGGATTGTAGGGTAAGTATTAACTTTGTAAGAATCTAACAAAATGTTCTCCAAGGTGGGTATACCATTTTACACGCCGACCAGCAATGTTTGATATCTCGAACTGCTCTATGCCCTCACAAACATTTGGCGTTTTAGTGCTATTAAATTTAGAAGTGGCATTTCCCTGATGACTTACGAAGTTGAGCACTTTTTCACATGCTCATTGGCCATTAGGATATATTATTCTATGAAGCATCTGTTCAAGTCTTTTGCCTATTTTTAGCTTTTTAAAAAAGCTTTTTTATTCTTTATTTTTGTTAACCATTTTTATTTATAAATTGAAAAGAAATACTCTACAACTCATCCTGTCCTAGGAATAATTAGAAATTGATTTATTTGTGCTGTGATACACATAACGTGTTCTCAGGTTGGGGTTCTCTTTATTCTATAGTCAATGTCTCTTCTAGAGGATGAAATCTCTCTGGGAAACCTCTGGCAGAGAGGATGGAGGTCATGATGTATCCTTGGTTGGTACTATTACATCTTAAATCTCCATGGAGAACACTGGATTTCACATTGTCCGTGTACTTTTTTCTAGCCCATTGGCTGAGTATTTTAATACTTTGTAATCAAATTTGTAAAAGTTGAATCAGTCATCTTCTATTGAGATAACTTAATTATTGGCTTCCCATCCAACATCTATTTCCCCCTTCCTTCCTAATTCTGTCTTTAGCACTCATTCTTTACCCATTCAGCCATTTGCTGCAGGGAAGGTTGATAGCACCCCAATATCCAGGCTGGGCCTCAGTGACTTGAAAGTAAGTGTGCCCATTGGAGGCTGGGGGGGGGGCGGATTTTCCTTTCTTAAGAGAAAACCCTAAGAAGGTGAGCTCTCTTTTCTGCCTCAGGACATTGTTTTGTCTGGAGTCCCTTGAAATAGCCTACTACCAGTCTAAAACATACCTGATACTTGAAGACTGCTGAGCAGAGAGATGTACCAAAATCTGAATCCTTGACACCAACATTCAGCTACTGAATCAGTTGATCTTGCAGGCTCCATCTGCCTCTGGACTGCAACCTTCTTGAGTCAATAGCCTTTCTTATTGATTAAACTAGTGGAGATTTTATTTATGTTACCTGCAGCTAAAAGCCTCCTAATACAAATGCTGTGTGTATATGCTATTCTTTTAATTATTTTATTAAACTATACAATAAAGAACAAAGTA